TACTGTATTACTTTGGGGTCGGTTAATGTTTGGTGTTGCATAATTGGTGATAAATTGATCGGTTCATACTTTATTGATGGTATGCTGAATGGGGAGAAGTACCGAAATTTTTTAGATGACGTCTTACCAACATTACTTGAAGATTTGAGCAGGAAAGAAAGACAAAATATGTGGCTGTAAAATGGTGGGTGTCCAGCACATTTTTCATATTGCACGTGAAGCTTTTGATCGGGATTATGCTGGGCGATGGATTGGAAGGGGAGGTCCAATTTCCTGGCCTGCCAGATCACCTGACTTAACACCTCTTGATTTTTTTCTGTGGGGCGTCCTTAAGGATAATGTTTATCGCGAAGTATCGACTACGCTAGAAAACATGAAAGAGCGGATAAGAAATGCATGCAGAAATAGTAGCCAAGAAAACATTTTAATATGTAAAGAACGTTTTAGTAGAAGGGTTAATAAATGTATTGAAGTGGGTGGGGAAATATTAGAACATTTATTATAAAGTTTATACTTGTTGTTGATTAATAGTATAGTTTAATCATTTTTTATAAGTAAACAACCGGTCGAGGACGTGTATATAGACGTCCTGGTGAACGCTACGCAGCCGCTACTACACAGGAAGTGGATAGATTTGGTCGGGGATCTGTTATGGTTTGGGCTGGAATCAGTATAGACAACAGAACTGATCTTGTTGTTGTTCCTGGTAGACTAAATGCCATGAATTACATCGAAAACATCTTGGAGGACCATGTGGTACCTGCTTCATATGGGGTCGGTCAAGATTTCATCCTAATGCAGGACAATACAAAGTCACATACCGGTGGGATCACCAGAAACTTTTTGCAAAAACGTGGAATTCAGGTCATGGAATGGCCGGCGTTAAGTCCTGACCTGAATCCTATTGAACACATTTGGGATCAGCTTGACCGACACGTTCGCAAGCGCCCTAATCCACCATTAACCATACAGGAACTGACACATGCCCTGAGGAATGGGAAAGCATACCCCAAGAATTACTTCGCAGACTAGTGCGAAGCATGCCACGCAGGTGTGAGGAAGTGATTCGTGCTGGTGGTAGGCATACACGGTATTAAACCTCACCAATCCACAGAAAACCCGACTCTCATCGATACTATGAGAGTCGTTTTCACTTTGTTTTGCGTTATTAATTTACATTTTTAAGTGTAACTTAGAAGTAACTAAGAGTTGTAACATTGTTTTTGTAATTTTCTTTAGTTAAATATATGCCGTTGAAGTAAACCAAATTTGATTTGCCTAGAATTATTATGTAAAAAGTTACAGATTTCGAAAAAAGTGTTCCCCTAATTTTTTTGAGCAGTGTATTTATACCGGGTGTATATGAATGACTGCAACAAACTTCAAGGAGAGATTCTTTAGTTAATTTTAAGGATGCTACACCCCTCCAAAAATAGCGGAAAATTTTGGTTTAATTTCTTTTTCTCAAAAACCATAAATGCTAGGAAAATGAAATTTGGGGAATATGTTTAACTCATAATCATAATAGAGCACGTATTGACCATATTTGTACTTTCAACCTACCCTTCTAAACTACTAAACATAACCAGCCCCTTTACATTTTTGCTAAAATTTTTTTTATGCAGATGATAAATACATTAGAAAAATGTTACATAGGTAGATGAAAGTATCCTAAAACTTTTTTCTTTCCAATTTTTCCAAAAACCACTAATTTTTGAGGAAAAAAATAATAAAGCAAACACTGCCCGTTAAACAACTGGGTTGTCGATCTGTATATACTGTATTTGTTTCCATATGTTAATAAAATAAAATATTAAAATTCGAATGAAGAATTATACAGGGTTTTCCAAAAGTAACGGATAAATTCGCTAAAACAACTAATAACAGTTTATAGAAAAATTGCTGAGATGGGTCTAAGGATTTAAATTTCTTCCCATTGGTCTTTTGAAGGCGTTGGAAGAGTTTTAGCTTGCAGTCGGTTTGCATACTTTTTTTACTATTAAGCTACCTGTGGAAAATCCAATTCTGAAGGTGTAATGAATATCAGTGAAGGTGCACCCACTGCCAAGATACCTGAATAAGAAACAAAACCGTTACAATGTTTTTATTTTGTTATTTCTTATAAAAAAATCATATTTTGTTTCGGCTAAGAGTTAAGATTGGTAAAAACGAATAAGTATCATTGTTAGTGTAAAGAGTTGCAAAAAAGAAAAAGCAAATAAGAAAAGTGGCACAGGAACATCAAAAAGCAAACAATTGGAGTTTTTAAAAAAATTTTATGTAGTAGAGAAGTTGATGATAATTTGGAACCAACAAAGGACGAAGATGGTGCAATTATTCATTTTGATGTTGAAACATCTATTGCAACGATTCCATCAAGCTCATCTACGCGGCATAGTAAACGGCGTAAGATGGTTGAATTTGATGAAAGAATTTTGAAAGCCATAGAAGCTGAAAGCCCAAATCGCCATATCTTTTTCTTTAACGGTATTGTCCTGCATTAGAAGAATTTAATTAGGGTGAAATTTTACAATTTCAAATGGGAGTGTTGCAACTGATTGCAAATATCAATCAGCAGCAGCGACAAACCACACTCAGGTTTCTGCTCAATATTCACCGCAACAGAACAATCAATATTCTGCAACTACTGAGACTCCTCCAGCCCACCAATCAAAATTTCTTCAAATTATAAATTACTTAGTTACCCATAGTATTTTGTTTTGTTATTTTTATTTTTTGTTTGTTTGTTTACAAAAGGATTTTGTTTTTGTTGTTTATATTGAAATATATTTATCTTAAAATCTTGATCGTTGTTTTTATTGGGTTGGGACCTTGAGTTCTTCTTTTAAACTGTATAGTGTATTTTGACAAAAAAATAAGTTTGACTTACCTTAAAGCCACAGCTATTTAGTATTTCTATTAGCTGGATACAGTTCCTCATCATATTTTGCCGCTGAAGAGTGTCTTTAAGTCGGTTGTGAAAATCATCAAATGAGGCCACTGACATTCTAAAATGATTGAAAAACTTGGATTCCTCTTCCCGTAGTTCTTCGAAAAAGTGATACGAATGTGCCAACTTCATCCCTTCTTTTGTTGATAGGATGCACCCAGTACCGACGATGTTTCTTCGATTTTGTCTACGACGGTTTTTCGATTCAAAAGGTATAACACGTATGAAAGGTCGCACAAAACTAACTGAACTTACGAAGACGGTACGGTGATGTAGAAACAACCGTATGGTTATTTGCCGTACGGCGAAAATCGTTGTGTGTGAAACAGGCCTTAACCTCTGAGGTGCTGTCTGAGCGGCGGCATGTAAACATAATGTCTTTATTTTTTTAAAACGGCTACGCTCATAACGTCGTCATCTCATGTATTCCAAACGTGATTGGTGGTCGACTAGTACACAAAGTTTCAGATATTCGAGATTTGAAACAGGTAGCGCACAAATATGGTAGGACCGTCAAAACGAATACGTTTTGATGAAGCACTTCAGAAGTGGTGTGATGAAGGTGATAGTAATGCTAGTGACATTGACAATGTCCTGGAGGAGAATTACGATAAGTCTGATCATGATAGTGCCTCAGATCAATCAGTGGACGACAGTGGTGATGAAAACGAACCGCTGATAAATCGTGTTAAACATTTTTATGGCAAAAATCGATTTAGATGGCGCAAAACTGAGGTAAATCCATCATCCCGTGTACGTCAACATAACATAGTTATCAAACTGCCTGTTTTGAAAACCAAATCTAAAAGCATCGGAACACAAGCAGACCCTTTAACAGTATGGCAGATCTTATTTAGTGACGAAATTATGACTAATGGTATACGCTGGACAAATAAAAGACTTGCTAAAATCAAGGTAAAACTGAGCTGAAAGATCTTCATATTATCGAGCTTTTATTGGATGCCTTGTCTATACCTCGATCTTGAAACCAAATTATGAAAATCTGGACACATTATTTGCAACTGATGGCACTGAAAGGGTAATATTTAGGGCTGTAATGAGTTGTGACAGGTTTGGTATACTATTATCATCTTTACGGTTTGATAATCCCGATCGTGATCGACGCAAGAAAGAAAATCCTGCAGCCGCAGTTTTAGAAATATTTGAGCAAAATTTTTTAATAATTGTAATTTTCAAAATATAGAGTTCTCGAAAAAGAAACGTTACCCATTAAAAGGTTAATCGATATTTTTGTTTCTTAAACAAAAAAAAAATTGTATTATTTATTGTATTAATTGTATATTACTTCTCGTAAGCTTAAAATATCAACTGCCTGTCGAGTATCTTGGTTTCTTCCGAGACTATTTATGTTTCTATATTATAATATGATTGTTGGTTCTATATCATTTGGTGTATATATTTTTAATTATGACTTAACATACTTAATTTGCACAAAAATATTCAGTTTAAAAGAATCTTTGGAATCAAATATTGTATTCGTATTAGAATACACTTTTGTTTGTGTATTCAGCATTCGAATTCGTATTCAAATACTATTTTTCGGTATTCGACCCAACACTGATTGTGAGTTGGGTTGGGTTTTTCCATCAGTTTGGAACAGCAGGCTGAATTCATAAAATTGGAAACGACTTACCGACTGGATGTTGTTTTCCTTGGTTTTTACTTAGAAGCTCAGCTGAAAAGAAAAAACAAATTAATTTATTGCAACAAAAAATGAATTAATACGATACCTTTTAACATCCATAAAATAGCAATCCGATGATCCCAACATCACTAAAGTCACTAATATCACTATCATCACTAACATATAGCACAAACACAACACGTATTTATCACAAAATTTGCGTAATAGGTTTTAATTTTCGCAACTACTTTATCACCCTTATAAGTCCGCACATCAACTAAAATGCGTTATTAGCGAATCAACTTCCAAACATCCCCTCTTTAATTTATTGTGTGGCGAAGGAATAGTGGAGGTGAATAAACAAAAAAACGTAAGGACGTTGGGGCGAAGCGGTTTTAAATCGTTTTTTGCTGTTAAAACTCAACCTTTCAATAAAAAAATTATTCGTTTTCTCGAAACATTTCAACTAAAACTTACGTAATTTTATTAAAATAATACGCACTAATCGAATTTTAATGTGCAACACTTTCAGGAAAAGAATCAGGGGCCCAATCAAAGAATTAAAACGAAGCAACCCAACACATTGGCTTTATCCATCATCCCTTATTCATAAAATATAAATTTAAAAAATCGTATCTCAATAACGAATTGAGATAAGCAAATTTGATGAAGATTTAATGTACCATAAATAATTTTTTGTTTTCCATAAATATCGTTGTTATGATTATTTAAATCCAACTCTGCATGTTTGATTTGCTATAAACATGAAATATAAATTTTAAAAAATCGTAATCCAAGAACATATTGTATTATTGAGATGTCATCATGAAATAAAGAACATTTTAAAGCAAATTTAATGTTGACATGTTATTCAGCAGGCCTATGTTCATCCTACTTTAAACCGGGGGACATTTCTAATTATCGTCCAATTTCATCAATCTTAGCAGTATTTGGCAAGATTTTTGAGAAATTATTGCATACTCGATTTTTCTTTACTATTAAGTCTAAAATCGATCCTATGCAATATGGCAAGATATTGAACCTATAATAATTTAGATGACTCTTAATATATAGATATATATCTTAATATATTTTTAAAAACTTTCCATTAAAAATCTATACTTTATTTTTAGGCCAAATGATCCAGAATCAAATTGGGCAATAATCGAATTACAAGGAGATTTAAAATCTGATTCGGAAACAAGTTTTAATAATAAATTTATAGGCGATCTTCATTTTACAAAGACTGGAACACCGTTACTAATTATTGGTCATCACATTCTATATGGAAATGAATCCACAATGGAGAAACCCTTAGCAGTAATGGAAAAAGTTAAGTTAATGGATAATGAATCTATTGAATATGTAATTAAAAAAATTATTACTAAAAAAATTATTTTTAAAACACGTCCAAAACCTATTGTTAGTTTATAAATTATTTTCATATAAATAAATGTTACTTGTAAAAATACTTATTTTTTATTATCACATTGTAAGAAACATTATAAGAAATTACATGTTTCAAGAAACAAAAAAATAAAAGTTGCTAACATTCATTTAAACAAACCAGTCTTATTTGTTGAAATAATAATTAAACCTGTTGTATTTCCAAATCTGCAGGAATCGTTATGCCTCCAGTATCCACAGTTTCGTCGTTTTGAATCGATG